TTTTATGGAAGCTGCCTAACAAACAAAATGTTGTCTTTAAGCTCTACTGTGGAATGTTAATTTCAATGCCTTTTTTTTCTTATTTTTCAGCTCTTAATAGAAGGAGTGAGCATAATAACAAAAAAAAAGTGTGAAACTTTAGTCTCAGGAGATATCACCAAGTGAGAACTTGAAAACAAGAGAAGTGGAACCATTTCAGAATGAGATGTTTTGTGCCTCTGGCAGCTTTTTCAACCAAAACTATTTCATTAGCCCTAGAAAATGGTTCAAAAGAAGAGAATACTCTCTCCATATATTCTTGAGTCAGTCCTGGAAGAATTCTTACATGGAAACACAGCATGTAGCATAGTACTTAGCATATAGCTGGTGCTCAATAAATATTTGTTAAAATGAGGGGGATGCTTGGTAAACATGCTTTGCTGAGTTTTAGGTAGTACCTTAGAGCACTGCCTTTCAAACTGAAAGTGCAAATCAATCATATTGTGATTGAGATGCTCTGAGATGGGCATGAGATTCTGCCTTTCTAACAAGCTTCCAGCCTTGCTAGATGCTGCTACAGCTGGTTCAGACCGCACTCTGAGTAGCAAGGCCTTAGAAAGCAGGTTCATGTTTGATAGGTGAGAATATGTATTGCTTTTTCTCTCTCTTTTCTAAGGTTTTATAATATTTTATATCACCTTTTTAAATTAAAAAAATCGCATTAAAAATCCTAAGAATCTCTAAGTATTAAAGAATAATTTTCTGTCATAAAATGTACTAGAAATCAAATTATCAGTGGGATTTTTATAGTATGCCACAGATATTTAGGGAAAAATAATTTTAAAATAAAAATTAATATTTAGAATTTGGATAGTAATTATTTTTTACATACTATACTATNTTTCTCCAATATGCAAGGCCAGATAAGTGAGAAAAGAAACACTTCTCAGTTTTAATTTTGACCCAGATCTAAAATTGTTAATGACTTTTTTATCCATTATCCTTAATCTCTCCTTTTTTTTTCTGTAAATGATTCAAATAAATAAACCCCTCACATACCCGGGACCCAACATTAAGAAGGTAATATTCTTAAAATAAGTAAAAACAAAACAAAAAGACACAAACAGAAAACAATGCTTCCATTCTCCCGAGTCCTTTTCACCCAGGATGCAGTGTACTTAAATCTACTTACAGTAGCTGCTTCAGTGTTAAGTTTTTAGTTTGGAAATAAAAAGAGGTTTAGCTAAGGTCACTGACAATTGCTTTCTCAGCACAATAGAAAATCAACCCAACCCACTAACAACACTAAAATGGCAGAAGCAAACACAGTGGGAGCAAGTAGGAAAAGAATACCTGGGATTGCCAAACTGGAAAGGGGGACGTTGTGGAGGTGAGGGGGCAGCGAGGCCATCCAGTCGGCATTGCAGACCTCCGATGATGTCTTTGTCCCGCTGGGGTTGGGGGAACAGATGGTCCCCATCCCGAGTTTCCTCCTTATCTTCCTAACTGCTAGCATCCCTCTGTCAGTCAACAAACTGCCCAAGCTCAGTCGAGTGCCACTCATTCAGTGATCATCATCGCCAGGGCTCTCTAGGCATTTCAGGGCCACCTTTGTCACTCCAGTCTTTCCCAAAGGCCTTTCTGCCTGGGAAATGGGGCAAATAGGTGGTTCCCTACCCCACCAACACCCCACCCTCTCCGGCCCTGCCGCTGTTAGTCTGCTCAGTCCGGGCTCCGTTAAACTTCTTATGCTCCCCTCTACAGCTTGGGGAAGGTAGGCCCCTAGAGATAAATCTTACAGGAACTGAACGTCCGAGGAGCAGCCACGCCCGGAGCCACTTACAGGACAGGTGCCCACACAGCATATAGACAAGCTGGTGGGTCTATACACACGTGCGCGCCCGAATGCACCATCATCAGCCTGAGTTAGGCTTCTGTGTATGTCACTGGGCTGGCGCATAAGCTGGGCCTGCCTGCTATCCCTCCTCCGGCTTCGCGGCACACACTCACCCCTGCCCTGTGCTTCCTAAAGGCGCTCAGAAGTGTAAACGGCGGCACCCGGACTCTTGGCAGCCCCGCCCCGCACTGCCGGGCAGATTTGCCGGGCTAGGCGGCCTGTGATTGGCCGACGGCGGAGCGTGCTCCGATTGGCCCGCGCCCTCCCGGGCCTCCGAGTGGCTCCCACCCCTCCGCTCCCATTACTCCAGCCTTCCTGTAGGCAGGCAGGCGCCCTCCAGGGACTGCAGGCAGGGAAACTTGCAGGCTGGGATCGGTCGGACCTCAGACAGGTCCTTTCGTTGGGTCGTCCACGCAGCCAGCACTCAGATGTTAAACGCGACCATAAATGTTTCTTTCTTTCCTTCTTTTCCTTCTACATGCGCGCGCGCACACACGCTATGACAGTTACACAGAAACTATCACATTTCAATAAACCATAGCGGCAGCAGAAAAAAGAAGTAAAGAGGCTGAGAAAGGTGCAGTATCTCGTATTCGATGTGTTTCAACCATTACATAATTAAGGTTCACATACACACCACTTATTTCCATTTTACAGAGGAAGAAATGATGACACTTTACATCCTATTGCCCTGTGATTTGAAACCTTCTTCCAATTTTTTTTGTCCCATTTACTCTTCACAGTACACCCTTAATGGGGAGGGGGCGGGGGAGTTGATGGTATGATCCCCTTTTCACAGATGAAATGGAAGTTTGGGGGGCATTCAGGGAGCAGTTCACGGTGGTGACACTATTTAGAAATCCTATTTTGGAATGAGGCTTGTAGGCACACAAACTCATTTCTCTGCTTTCCTCAATGTTCCCTACTCCTTCAAATGGTACTTTTTCATGGTGGTAAACGATAGGGTCTCTAACGATATGAGAACTTTGCACACTGATAATCATAGGAACATCTTGGCAAACCGACAAATCAAGACAAACACCTTGGCCTTGATGGTGGGGCCCTGGAGGGCTTCAGGCCAGGCTGCTCCTCAGTGACTCAGGAGGGGCTTGTGGGAAAAGGAACAGCAGCCTTTGCTAAAAGAAGGCTGAAGGCNCTAACATCAGTGAAAATGTTTATAGAGTTTAAAGCTTTAATTTAAAAATCTGTTTTTTGCAATGTCCAGATCCTTTACCCTTGGGGTCTCTAATCATTCTATACAGTTGGCAATGAAAATTGTTCTGAGGTTCTTCTCTAAGATATTTCAATATGTTTGGGTGACACTGGTCATTAACAGGTGTTCTTAACAGTTGTGGAAGTAAAATAATACATCCAGGCTTTGTGGAGAGTTGCACATTCACACATGTTCTCTCCCACGATGACTTAGGCAAATGCAGCAGATGCACGCAGATCTGACATAGTTTACTCCATCCTGGGTCTGCTTTTACTGCCAGAACCCTCCTGCCTTTCCCCATGTCACTGCTGACCCAGCCTCACCCTGACAGATGTGACACTAGGTCAGCACATGTGAGCACGCACTCATGTGTGTCCACATGCGTGCGTGCAGACATGGACACACACACACGCATTATAAGTCTAAGCACGAAATTTGAATTTAAAACTTACTAGGTTCCAATTCTAAAGTTCTATTTATAATTCCAATTGTAAACAGGGAAATATATATATATATATATTACTCATATAATATGTACACATACATATATGTGTGGCTATCTATCTATCTATCATCTACCATCTTTTCATAGTGATACATAATCACTCAGATAAAAAAACCACCTAGTTTGAAAAATTCTTTCATTTGCTGCAGAGGATGGTCTGTGAATACTGGTTTTCAATTAGAGA